CTTCATACGCGCGTCCTGCGTCTCGCTTTCGGTTACCCCGTCCCTCTCGACAAAAGCTCAACGTATGCTATATATTGTGGCGGCCGAATGATCTTTTGTCGTCCATGCGTTTCAATTTTATTTGACAGATGTTTATTTCTACCAATATAGATTAACTTCAATCTCGATTTAAACATACTTTTTATTCTTTTTCTTGTTCTTGGAATGGATTAACTTTAATCTCGGTTCAACTTGCTCTTTATTTTTTTTAATTCTTAGAAAGATGAAGAGTCAGTTGAATTGAGATTAAAATTAATGTACGTTGGTAGAAACGGGCATTAAAAAAAGATGAAAAGTAAGTTAAATCGATATTAAAATTAATCTATACTGAAATGGACAAGAGACATCTCGACGGTGTATTTTGAATTTAAACAAATCGTATGAGAAAATGACTTTACCCCAATTGTGTTTCATCTTGATATACAGCACTGACGATTTTCCTGTTTTATTTTTTCAAAATCAAATATATATATATATATATATATCCAAAATACTTTTCGTATCGTTTCCGAACAGATAATCGCAACATATCACGCTCCTCTTTTACAATAGTCATCTTATTTAGATCGTTATATTTGAAGTGAACTTTTCACGTATTTTGGTCTCTATCCGTTCTCAGTATATTATCGTCGAGCATTTCAAGCGTGGAAAATATCGAGTCGACCGGGAGATTTCAAGGAAAAGGATATCACTACACGGAAAAAAATGTTTGGTTAAATTAATTCAGATAGAAAATGAACGATCCAGAATTTTGGTTAAGCCTACTATATTTCTGATTAAATCTACTAAATGTTATTATTTTAGAGAGAGAGAATTTTAATAGATTTTAATAGATTAACCAGAAATCTTGTAGGGTTAATTAGAATTCTGGATCGTTCATTTTCTACCAGAATTTTAGTTAACTCAATCAAACATTTTTTTCTGTGTAGGAAAAAAAGCCAGACAATTACCTTCCTCTCCTTGTCAGGTTTGCCGGACGTATTGTTTGTCGTGATCTTGAGACGCGACAAATTGTTGGCCAAGGCAAGTAGAGCAGAGTGAGTCGGTAAAGCGTCCGCGCCTTGGTTACCCAAATCCGTCGTTTTCCAGCAATGTGCGCACTGCAGATCGCGTCCCTTCAGGAGATTGCTCTCGATGCACCGTAGGCAGAAGTAATGCTTGCAGCTAAGATACTTGGGGCATTGCTCTACGTCATTGTACTTCTGCTTGCAGCAACCGCAAAGCGTCAGCTCCTCCAGGTCCGTTAATACGCTCGGATCCAGCATCTGAAAGCGTAACCACACACGTACACGTGCATATCCTCCTACGCAATTTCGTCACAAACATACGCGGAAACACACAGTGCACATACACACAAGACACATGCGCGTATAAAGCCCTTTCTTCTTTATCCTCCCTATTATTAGAATCAACGAAATCAAATTTTTCATTGAGTTAAACTGCGATTAAATTAAAAGACAAGAAACGTCTGCCGCAACTCGTCAACCATTCCCGTTGCGTCGTCGTCAAATGTTATCCACCGTTTTTCCATTCACATCCCGCTCAGTTTACTCCGGAAGAGAGATTTACCTGTTTGAGTAACATCACGCCACGAATTGCGAGGCGTACCGTCAGTTTACGTGTCCCTGAAACAGATCGCGACGACGTTTAATCGCGCTGATGCCGCTTTCGCCACTAGGAAGGATATCGCGAATTTTCTCTTTCACAGATACAACGCGGCTTTCGACTGACTCTAAATAGAAAAGCGAGAGAATCGCGCACGTCTTACAGAGAGCGAAGCTCTTTGGCAAAAACCAACCAACTTCGATAACGCGTGTCACGCAAACACTACCGATTCACGCGGGAAAGGAGTCTTGTAAAAGGTCACGCCGTCAACCGCGTATGTAAACAAAACACTCGGTACCGTCCGTCGTTCTCTCTCTCTCTCTTTCTTTCTTTCTCCCGCCGCTGCGCGCCGTTCTCTGTTCCGCTTTGTAGTCTATCACATCGTCGCCTTTCTCGCGCGGAATCCTTCTCTAACTACGTGGTTTCCACGCGCCGACTCGACCGTAGACTCGTCTGCCGTTCCGTCGTCGCCGTGGACTTTCCCGGTTTCAAGAACGCGCGACGCGAAACCGCCGCCGCCGTCATGTCGGCCTATATTCCTTGACCCATATAACACCTCGTGCGTCATCGAGTCATCGACGTTTTCCCCGTTAACAAATGTGTACCTCTCTCTCTCTCCCTCTCCCTTTCTCTCTTTCTCTTTCGTATGCGCACGGGCACAAACGACGACGTCTCTCACGGTATTGTTTACGTCTTTACGTCGAGACGACTGGTCCACTCGTCCGTTTTGTTCGCCACGAAGGCTTCAATGCGCGATTCGGAGGAATCGATACGCCGCCACGTCGTCGTCGTTGTCGTTGTCGTCGTCGTCGTTGTCGTCGCACACGTGACGACGAGTAAACACACTCACCGCGCGAGTTCGATTCGCGTCCGGGATATTTGAAAGGCGGGAAAGCTCGACCAACGACTTGAGCTCGCCCGCTGATGCCGCTCGCCCTTAACCCTTCTCTTCCCTTCATCTCCCTTCCCCGTCGCCTCGATCACCTTGACCGTGCGCTCCCGGAGAATTTTCGATAAGTGCCGTATAATGTAAATTACGGTACGCAACACGTGTGTGATAACACACTGCTGAACACGATTATAAAATTACATCTCAAAACACACCACCTGCGTTCTAGCAGGTAATTGATGGCGGCAACACTCATCTCCACATCCAATTTCGATATTTACGTAAACGGGCTATTTTAATTTTCATAACCGCCGACGTTCGTTCCGTTCTGTAAATAAGAAATTAAGAAGCGAGAATGATTTTTTTTTAATTATTTTGAATAATTACGCATTGCGATGTGATCATTGGAAACGTTGGATTTGATTTTTTTCGGATTTACGTCGCATTTCTGTCGATGTAGATTAACTTTAATCCTGGTTTTATTTACTCTTTTTCTTTTTCTAATGCACATTCCTACAAATGTAATTTAATTTTAAGAATCAGAAAAAAGATGAAGAGTTAATTGAACCGAGATTAAAGTTAATCTACATTAATAGAAACGGATATAATTCTTAGAACTAAAGAAGATTAAAAAGTAACCGATTAAAGTTAATCTATATTGATAGAAATAAACATTGGACTTTTTTCCCGTTTAATTATCACTCGGTTTGCGCTAATTTAACCTGATAATAGAGGAAGCGTAATCAAACAGGTCTCTGTAGACTCTGCTGGTCTTTGAACGCGCACTCGAAGACAGTAAGATATGATTCTCGTTGGAAACTCGGCGTCGACAATAATAAACGTTAATTAAATCTTACTTCCGGCGAAACGATTTAACCTGAGAACATTAACCTTTGGACGGAACCACTCGATGCCTCGAGTTAAGTCAATATCTCTCTAATCTTTAATACTCCGATTTTCCCTTTCTACTCGTGTAAATACAACTGTTCTTCATTAGCTGCAGAATTTGCACACTTCATCTTTTCCCACGATATAAAAATAGAGTGTTTTATTACGCGTAATGATGCGATCGAATGTAATTTTAAAGTAAATTTCTTATTGATCGTAAATTTCTAATAGCGGCTTTAAATTGTAACTTTTGGGCAAATTTTCCAACTGACTACGCGGAAGAGAAACATCTTGTATTCTTACATCATGTATTCTTCGTTCATGTTGGAGAAAAAAACAGGTGCAAGAAACACAGTGCAAGAAATTCAGCTAAAAAAACAAGCCTATATTATCTCGAAAAATATTACAAGAGATACGCCGAATCACTCTTTTCCGAATGAAACTTGTTAAGGGCAGAAGAGCACAGAGTCTTGCGTAGGAAAATGGACAATCAAAGTCCTTCATTTCCTTTCTTTCTACGAAATAAAAGACTCTGATTGGTTGACTTCTTATGCTTGATATATTATGCGTTATGCAAAAGATCTGTGCTCCGGTCTTAACGGGAGCCGTACTGTCAATCTTCCGTAAAAGTTTTCGGAGTCTCGCTTCAGAGCGTGACATTCACAGCCGTTCCAGAGCGCGTTGTGCAAACATACGTGCGAACGTGTAAATAAGAGACTTGTTCTTCGAAAAGCAATAATCTACGACACCACTCTCCGTAGCGAAGAGTAACCATCTAGATTCCCGAGTAGAACACAGAGTCATAATTAAGTCACAATATCAAACATCATCATGATGTTATTTGATACTTAAAAATGAATTTATAAGTGACAAGATGATGATGATGATGATGTCCTCACATTAGTATGATTTATGTGTTCTACTTGAGTTTTTCATTCTTTTGGAGCAAAATTGATTTCAAACAATTTAGAGAGAACCCTCGTACTTTAGATTCAGCAAACTACGAGATCGCGCATAACGATGCCACTGACCAAGACGACGACGACGACGACGACGACGATGATCCCGGGATTGCCAGACGCGCGCTTGCCATGTTTCGCGGAGTATCCGGGCGCGTGTGAGCTAAACTCACGAGAAAGGGGGTTAGGTAGGTTCTCGGTATCCAGCGCGGTATCAGCGGCGACAGATAAGTCATTATGCAACGAAAGATCTCCGAGAGGAGTCACACTGACAAAGTTCGTTCGCTCGCGCGCGGGTGAGAGAAAGAGAACGACACTCGGCGCGCATGCGCCGGAAATCCCGCCAAAACCGTCGCGGGGAGATCTCGCGGAGCACGGGACTCGCCATTCCTCGAGCGCGACGTCGCGCCTCTCGCGCGCGCTAAATGCAGGGTAGGAGGAGGAGGAAGAGGAAGAGGAGGAAGAAGACGGGAGCGTGGAGGTAGGGACAAAGCGGTCGCGGGGAGGAGGGGCGACGAGTCCTCGGATCGGAGGCGCCGGAGGACGGGTGGACGGGGTGGAGGAGGAGGAACGTATCGAGTGTTCAGAGAGGCACTTCCTCACGACTGCTCACAACGTTTGGGCACTACAACGTCGCGTCGTAAATCGTAATCGTCGACG